TTGAATGTGTTGGGTGGAACCCACAAATAAATCGTTCTTTCGTTCCAGGCACGTGTGTCGTTTCTCTAAATAGAATTCAGAGCAGTAACCATGCATCATAACAATAACAGAGTAAGCTCGATGCAAAGGCTCAATTACCTCGAAAACTCCACAGGCCAGTTAATTTCAAACAGAAAATTAAGAATAGTGATTTACGTCTGGGAACTGAAGTTTAACTCAGTTCATGTGATTCTTACTATAAAATGCAATATCTGTATCATGAAAGTCAAAATGGAGAAACATTAAGCCTACACACACATCTATTTTTATATCTAATCAAATTAGCAACAAATACTAAGGGTTATAAATGACAATACTGTTCAAATATATTAAAAATATGAAGCAAAATTAAAATATGACGTGACGACTACAATCGCACTATGTGCACTGCAATACCAAATTTAATCAAAATCCGTCGAGTTTCGTTGCTTAAACATAAATACAAATAAACATGATCTTCAGTTTTGCAGTTGAAGACTGTCTTCTTTGTTGTTCAGTAAAAGTTTGCCGACGTTTCTGTCGTGCTTGCATCATCAGGATGGATTCAACTAACGTGTAAAAATATCAGTCTTATATTGTAAATAAACATTTCGGACACCGAACTACTGGCAATAAAATATACAAAATAAACGGAACAAGCAATTTTATTACGTGTTATATTACTATTCTCTTCTAGAAAACAAAAGTACAGAAACTTTAGTCACGTACGTCTACCATAACAAAGTCACACAGCTTTTGTTTTTGAATATAGTTCCAGTCGGCCCGCCCAGATATCGCCACCATACGGCTAGAGCTCTTCACGATTCTTGGTTTTCATTCTTCAACATTTCACTGTCCATCCTCTACAAAAACATGTTTTCGTTCAATGTGGCCATCATCATTTTCAATTCCCAGCTTTCTTGTCATTGTATTGGGTATCGTATTTTCTCTACCCGGTGTAAAAATAGTGCCGAACAAGAAAAACTAAGAATCAACATAACGCGCCGGACGCTACGCTACGCTACAGACTCTTCAAGATGCCAATACATAAACAATAACTTCCGCAAAACAATAAGGCGAAAATAAAAGTACAGAAATTCGAATCACATACTTCATACATAACCTAGCCACACAACTTTTGTTTTCGAATCTAGTTCCAGTCGATATCGCCACCATACGACAAAAGCTCCTCAGGATGCCATCCATAAACAATAATTTCCATAAATCTAACAAAGTGAAAATAAAAATACAGAAACTCGAATCACATAATTTAAACATAACAAAGCCATACATCCTTTGTTTCTTTAAACTAATTCCAGTCGCTTACTAAAATCTCGCTACCGTACCAGGTAGATTTTTTATGAGCTCCATAAATAATGATTTCCTAAAATTTAATAAAGTAAAAAAAAATAATTATTCTAGTCATATACTTACCACGCAACCAAACCACACGTAAGCTGTTTTATAATGTAGTTCCAGGCGATACACCCAGACGTCGCCACCATACGGCTAGCGCTCTTCAGGATGCCAACCCACAAACAATAATTTCCTCCAACTTTATAAAAAGAATAGATTAACTTAAAAAGACCATTAGTTTGTTCAGTTAAAAAGTATCAAAGAATATGCCGACTCATAACATCTTAAAGCATGACATATTGTGGCCAGCTACTCCCTCCAGAGTCTGCAGTGTGAAAGCTGACCTCAGCTTCAGTCTTTTCTTAATTGATCTGCACATCGTTTTCCTAAGTGCATTTTCTGATTTATTTATTTATTTGAGTTTCCAGATACGAAGAACTTTGTCAGTGTTGGCTTATGTCATTTAACATATCAAATAGCACAAGGCTCATTGGGTCCCCCTGTAAAGTAATTTATCTGTTTGATTTCAGTTGTTCATCTACCATTTTGTATTTATATTCTGATATATTCCTCAGTCTGTGCATAGAGGATACCATTATTTCAATACTTTATTTTTACCTTACTTCAAGTTGTGTCTTAAAAGCAAGAAAGTATGTCAGTCTTTTCTTTGAACCATTTAATATGATTATAATTTTCTTTGGTTTGAATCCAAATCCTCGTAAATCATAGTGGGTGTGCATCAAATTTTATTTTTAATACTCAAAAATTCTGCATTTGTCTTTTGGGGGACTGAATATTGGTGTAGTACTCAGTATCAAGACATTTTGACTTAAGATAAGATTTCTGTACATTTAATAACAAACTGTAATAATAGCACTGAAATACAGTTTATTCTGTTGTTTCACCTCATTGGTCCGTGTTGCTGCGTGTTTAATTGGTGCTACCTTGATATTTTAAGCAACTGGGGAGATTTTAATAACGCAGGAACTTCAGGACATTGTACTATTTATTATGATCCAAATACATTCTACAAATTAGAACTGCACACATACAGTTCACTTACTGATATACCGGGTCTACAATTTATGAGGCTGCGGTCAGCCTGCGCTCTGTTGATGTGGGCGGGTGTTGTGCGTTCTTCCGGTGGATGACTGGTGAATCAGTTTCAGTGCTGCTAGTAACAGCGAACTACCACTATTTCTCGTCACTAATACTTGTTATTACATTAATTGTTCTTAACTTAAACCACAAAAGATGTTCAAGCGACTTCCTTGTGCTTGCAGGCAACTTCACGTCTCGTTAACATGTTTCGAAATACTCGACGAAGCTCTTCTTGGGAAATTGCCGAATATTTTCTTTAAGTGCTTCTGCAGTGTGCGGATAAATTGTAAACGTTATGTAAATTTTATACTTAGACCCTTTTTCCAAGAAATGACCGATGAAGAAAAGACTTATGATTTCTTCATGCAAGACAGTGCTGCAGCTCACACAGCTGATCAGTCAATGTTAGCATTAAAAGAAGTGCTTGGTGAACAAGTTATTGATCAGTGGCCTCCGCGTTCCCCAGACTTAAACCCGTGCGATTTTTACCTGTGGGGCATGCTGAAGAACCAAGTTTATGTAAACAATCCACACACTGCAGAAGTACTTAAAGAAAATATTCGGCAATTTCCCAAGAAGAGCTTCGTCGAGAATTTCGAAACATGTTAACGAGATTTGAAGTTGCCTGCAAGCACAAGTAAGTCACTTTGAACATCTTCTGTGATTTAAGGTAAGAACAATTAATGTAATAACATGTATTAGTGACAAGACATATTCGTAGTTCGCTGTTACTAGCGGCACTGAAACTGATTCGCCGGTCACCCACCAGAAGAACGCGCACAACTCCCCGCCCACATCAACAGAGTGCCGGCAGACCACGCAATGCAAGCACGACCGCAGCCTCATAAATTGTAGACCCAGTACTAATTCTCATACTTTCCACCTTCTTCATTCTTTTATATTTATTCACAGGAAGTTTATTAATTATAATCACAGAAATTAAATTTAATTATCTAAAATACACCAAATGCGTAAACTCATCAATTGTCAGACATCATTTATGTTGATGTAGCGTCAGCAAATACTAATGATTACATAGGACTAGCGAAACTGAAGCGGGCTAATACGCAGTCCGACCGTGTCCTTGCCGACTTCTGCTACCATACATATTGCACACACTGTTCCCTTGAACTGAGGCATATAACTTGCCCCACACAACGGGCATTTCTCCTCTGCCTTCCCACGATAGATGGGACGATACGTCCGGCCACAAAGTGAAAATGGGTTGTGCTCATCGTACTGCAGTTGGTGTTCATCTACAGGATTTTTATCACAGGCCTGGAATTAGAGTGAAAGAAAGTTAACTTTGCCAGCACATATCTCAATGTGAGAATGATAAATACAATCTGAATATTTATCTGCTTGAAGACGGCTACCTTTTGGGATGTTGAGCCAGGTAACCTGGTGGATATTAATTTATGTTTCAAATGTTGATAAACTTCTATCAGACTACATGGCGCAACAACCCAGAAGACAACAATCTTTGTCTTTTACAAATACAGGTAGCCCTCGTTTTACGCCGGGGATGCGTTCCTGGACAAACCGGCATAAATTTAAACTCTTTTATAATGTCAATCGATGGGAAGTCAATGACATGTGTTCTCAGCACCCAAACATTGATGAGTAATATAATGGCATTACATTTAAAGCTCTGAAATAACGTAAATAAAATATATTTTATACACTTGCAAACGACAATTCGTTGGTCCCCGCGATTGACTGCGATTCTTTCACGTGATTGATGTGTACAGTCATCTCTGCTGTTATGCGATAGTTGCATTCATGTAAGACGCTGACCTCTAGAAAAATAACCCTGGTACCTCCGCAGAGATTAAATTAGTCCTTTGAAAGTCTAAAGCGCCAGGAATTAAATTGCATAAGAGCAAACTCACATATGCAAAAATTCGCATTTCACAAACAGATTTTACCGATTCATCGATCTCATTAGAGCAAATTTGCGTTAACGAAACATACGTAATTGCAGAGATGACTGTATTTATAATTTTTATTCAAAATCAGCGATGTAAGAATTACGTTTTAGTATAAGAATCAGTACGAGATACATTGTAAATCGTTATAAATAATAGTAAAATATATTTTTGCACTTTTTGACTTGCTGGTTTCAAAATTGGCATTATTCTGAATCAGGGTAAATCGAGGCTACCTGTATATTTTAAAATTACTCACAAATGATACATGACTGTGACATAACATACGCAGTTAAACACCGGCTTTTAGCCAAATCCTAAATCAGTCCATGGTATATTTGTGGATAAATTAGCACTGTGACAGATATTTCAGTTGAATACTTCAGTGTTTCCTCAGCTAATCATCTTTCCATCAATGATGTATACTAATAAGCCAGCATGTTATCACAACCTCAGTCCTCACTTTGGGGCTTCACCTTGGACTGGCACATCTCTGGATTCAGAGTAATAAACTTAACTTTTAACTACGAATGGTATTTTTGGCAAAAATAGCCAAAACAATACGAACAACAGTCTTACCTGCAGCATTTTCTTAGCGTGCTGCACCACATCTTGGCGAGGACCTTGTTCTAATAAACGCCGCGCAAATGACGCTGCAGTCTTGTAGTTATTCAGTTTGTAGAAGAGGTTCATTGCTGTGCGGAGAGTAAGGATCTGATGGACTGGCTGAAGGTTGCAATGTGTAAAATATGCTGCCATCTCACACAAGCGTTTCTGATCCTCTAAAGTGGCTTTGGGCAATTCCTTTCTCGCTGTCTCCATTTTTAGTCCTAGAATCACATTCACAAACACACACACAAAACAAAATGTTAATTAATAAATCAGACTGCAAAACAATATTCCCACCTTCTTACATCTGCAAGCACTGATGCAAAGGACATATAATACATTAAGTCAGACAGTTAAGTCCCCACTTAATGGTACCTGCACCTTGTCGTGGTGGTGGGGCTTGAGTACCTCAGTGATCCCAAGAGCTATGCTGGCGGTAGCATAGCTACTGGTAGGGCCTCCCTAGCCAGATTGGTCGAGGGGGAGAGGTCAGACTAAGACAGGTGCCCTGGTCCTCCAAGTTGGGGATTGGTCACAAGGCCAACAACCTTGCACCGTAAAAAGGAAGATGCTTCAAAACCTCAATCAAAGCCTCCAACAGAATAGGACCGAATAGAAGAGGAGAACTGAGGAAGCCATGGACCGAATACGAAGCGGAGAGCCATAGAAGAAGAACTAAGAAACCTCAGTGGGTCTCTGAGGCAAGATTTAAACCAGGGACCTTCAGAACATGAAG